CTTGTCATGATAAGAAGCTAACTTGTTCTGGTTGCTTGGAGGGGGTATTTGAGCTTGAAAAGGATCTCACTTCTGCTACACAAGTGGCTGGTGTTCACTGGGGCTCACAGTGGCTTGTGAATAGATAAAACTCAATTTTTTTCAGCCAATCGATATCGCAATAATTTAGACCTTTCTATATTAATGAAAGGTAATGTACTCAATGAGTCATCTACCCTTCATCTTTTAGGATTAACTCTTCTGATCTTTCTTGGAAACCATATATCAAATCCATTGCAAAATTAGCATCTGTGAAAGTTGCATTTCTTTATCGAGCTCAACATTTTCTTACTTTGGATTCTATTCTCTATCTCTATAAATCTCAAATCTGGCTTTGTATGGATTACTGTTGCCATATCTGAGGCAATAATTACGGTAATTAGTGGTTGCTTGCAGCCTTGTTGGAAGCGAAGATGTTTAAAAAAAAAACTCTAAATAACTTTTTGAATTCTTGTTTAATGTTAATGAATTTTTAAGAGCTGATTACAATAAATGTTTTCATTTTGATCAGTAATTTTAAATTTGACATTTTAAAGCCTGATTACTCCAAATTTTTATTTTTATCAGTAGATAAAAATAAAAACTTGGAGTAATCATAAAAAAAGTTTTTTTTGGCAATAAGTGAAATTTAATAAACAAATGAATTTAACGAATCTTAATATGTTCAGGGTGGGTATATTTTGCAAAAGTTAACTACCCCTCCTTTGTATTAAGCACCTGAGAGTAAATGCTTTAAGAAAAAGAATTTGACAAGTTCAGAAAAATATTAACCAGCTCCTTAAACATTGACTATTAAAATGATATTTTTTAAATAAAAATATTAAAAATATATTTTAATAATATGTAAATAAATTTCTTTTTAAAAGTTCCGACCAAGTAGAATTACAAAAACATTTATGAATAAGTTTTGATGCATAATTTTTAAAAAAGCTTAAATATCAACTCTAAACAATTTGTTCAAAATGGTTTTTAATCTTTTTAAATTTACTTTTTTTTGTATTAGTACTTGTATAAGGATTACACAAAGGAATCTTTATATACATATAGAAAAAAAAAGTGAAAAAATTGCAACAAGCAAAAAAAAATAAAAATAAAATACAAAGCTAAACTTTTAAAAACAAAACTTAAATTTTACAAAGATATTCAAGCACACATTGTTAAAAGTTTACCAATTATGAAGTAACATAAACTAATAAGGATGCTAGTGCCAATAAATAAAGCATTACTCCATCAAATAATCCGAACTGATTTTGATTGAATTGTTTATCTTTATTTGAATCTAAATACATATGTTAATTGAATTATTTAAGATAAACTCTTGCTTTTTACAATTCTTTTTGATAACATGACCTCTTCTTTTGTAAACTTTTCACACACTTAAAAATATTTCAATAGTAGCTTGTTTCTGTAAAAGCAAGTCTTGAATTATAAACTCTAATTTTATAGGCAATTCTTAAAAATTTATATACTCCATAATTTCACACTTCAGAAATATAGTTACATCACTAATGCTATACAGATATAAAACTTGATGCTTATCTTTTTTACAGATAAGACTTATATAGTATTAAGACTTTGTTTCAACCTTGAGCTGAAATATGAAATTTGATAAGTTGCTTGTCCAACAAAGTCATAAAAGTAGAAAATTGAGATTCATTAAAGCAATAAAATCATTTTTTTAATGTTCATAATGTAATGTTGATTTTCATACTTGAAATGATTTTATTGTTGATTTTCTGCATTATTTAGTCCTTTATTAAAAGGACTAAATGATACAGAAAATAAACAATAACGATACTGCATTCTGTATTTATATCAGAACTAATGAAGAGATTACAAATTTCTTTGTTATAATGATTGTACATATTATTTGTATTTATGTTAATACTATTTCCATTTTTTTCGACAAGAAAACCCAAAGGACATAAATTTTTTGTTTAATAATTTTTCTTTTATCCTTTTTTTCCTAGTTTGTCATTAAATCTTTAGTTTTTTCTAATTTTTAAAAATTATACCAGCTAGCGAACGTTTAAGGTAGCAAGAATCAGATGAGAAAAAATCCTAATAACATTGTTTTATTGCATTTTTATACACATTTTCTAATGAATTGGTATTAGTTTCTTTGCACTTTGTATTATTGGTCCGGATTTCGATACCAGAAAGCTTTATTAAATCTATTTTTTAAAACCGCAGCAGTTCCCCATTTATACACCACTAGTTACTATTTTGTAAAGTATTGAAATATATATATATATATATATATATATATATATATATATATATATATATATATATATATATATATATATATATATATATATATATATATATATATATATATATATATATATATATATATATATATATTTATTTTATACTTGATTTATTCATTTTAGTAAATATTGATAAATTTAAAAAAATTAATTTTGTGGGGAAAAATAGTGGGAAAAGTTTAACACCCAACTTTAAGACTAATATTCACAAGTGATGTGGAATAAAATAATAACAACTTGTTGTATATAAATTTACCAATTTTATGAAACACACGCTTTTTTATGAGAAAAAATTTTTTCTCATAAAAAAGGTGTGGTGGATTGACACCCCCTCCAGATCCCTTGATCCGCTTTTTATCTAGAAACTAATATGAAATTATAGCCCATTTTTACATTTGTTTTTTGATACCAAGTTTATATTTGAATAAGAATTGACGAAGTTCTAACAATTAATGTAGAAAAAAAAATTATTTTGACCACAGTTTTATCAAGAAATCCATATATTGGAAATTTTTTACTATAAACGCCATAACTTTTTTTAGAATTGCTCGATTATCATAATTTGTTTACTTTTAAAATATTAATGATATATAACATTCTAGTATTTGATTAATTTAAAAAAACAATCCAATAATCCTACCATTGGAAAAAATGAGTTTTAACTTTTTTTTTAATTTTATTTAGGTATAAGAAATCCTGACAGTCTTATCACAGAGCACCGCGGATTAGCATTTAATTGGAAGATCATACCTCCTTCCTAACTGATGTAGCAAAACTTGCCCATTAGTTAGGAAGTTTGAACCATGGATCCTCTGCTTCTGAGGTGGAGTTTGAATCACAGATTATCTGCTTCTTAGGCAAGTGCAAAAAAACTAATTTGAAACCAAGGAGTAGAAATAAAAGCCTGCCTTAATCCAGAAAATAACTCCATGCTTAATACACGGGAGACATTAATTTTTGTAAAATTTTTCTACCCATCTCTAGTAAATTAAGACCCCGCCCCGCCTATTTCAAAAAAACTATTTCAAAACTAAAAAAAAAACTTAGTGTAAACCAGCCTTAAAAACTTGATAAAAATAAAAACTTTTGATCCAATGACCAAAAGTTTTTTTTTTAAATTCTCTTAAATAATAAAAAATTTTATTTTTTAAGAGAATGGTTATAAATAAAAATTCATTTGAATACTGAATTTCTATTTATACTTTGAATGGCTTTTCTAAAAGAAATGATGTTTTGTTGATTATTAATTAGTTTGATCAGTTTTTTAAAATAAATGTTTTAATTAGCAGAGGCTTAATTAATTTTATAAACATTACGCAAATATAATTTTGAGAAAAGTTATTTACATATATATAAAAATTATTTACCTATAGAAATAGTTTAAATTTTTACTTAAATATAGTTTTGATAATAGAGCTTATTGCCCCCTTTATAATGCAGAAGGAAAAAGGAGGCAGGAAGGGTTATGTCATTGTCTGGCTATGCAACTAACCAATGACAGATGCCAACAATTCTGTCATATGCAAGCAGATATCTACCAACCAAACATTCCAAGTACTTTCAATCACTAGCGCTCACAATGCTTCAGCCTCAACATAACTACTACATGTATTGCCAACTGCAGCAGAAAAGACCACAGAATTTTTTTTCTCAAAGAACTGCAGCTCAGATTTGCACAAACTTTTGGACATGGTAGGTAGGCTAGAGTCAGGTTTCACTATGGAAAAAGCTTAACAAGTGATGAATGTTTGAAACGACTGAACGAAAAAGCAGCATAAAAAGATAGCGCCTTAAGAAAAATGACAACAAGAAATAGAAAAAGCTTCCTGCTAGAGATGATAGGGACAGTAATGAGGACAATGACACTGTCATATAGTGCCATTATCCTCATCACTGTGTCTAAAGTGTGGCATTCATGGAGGTCAAGGAGAAGAATGGGTGTGCTGTAACTTATGTGATGTTTAGTGCTGTATTAAATGCACAGAAATTCCAGGTGAAATGATATTGAAGCCATTGACTGGATATGTGAGAAATGCCTCAAATAACATAAAAATATTTGTTTTATATACTGGAGCTTATTACCCAAATTTTTTAAAATTTGAGTCAATGTTAGTTGTAACTTTTTAGCTTTTTTTTTTCACTGACATGAAATCTTTCTGAATAAAGTTTTTGTAAAAAAAGAAATGTGTTGCCTATCACTTAAAAATATTTCCAGTTTGAACTTAACATTTACTTATTTCAAAGCGAGAAAAAAAAGTTCTTGAAAACATAGGGCTTCATGCCTCCTATTACCTTAATAATAATAAAGTAAACAAGGAGATTATTTAGGAAAAATTTATAAAAACCATAACTCCGTAACAAGCAAATAAACAAACTGGCTTTTTGATACTTAACATAAAGAATACAATTGATTTCTATATTTAAAAAGCTATAATTATTGTAATAACAAATAAAAATCAAAGCAAAACTGCCATTTAAAAGCATAAGGGTAATTATAAATATAGTTGACTAAAGTATATACACCGGTGCTTTAAAGTATATAATAGAACAAGTAGAACCATAAAGGCCAAAGATGATGGAAATTAAGGCACCATTTATAATTTGTAACATTGTAGCTGAATTGTTTAATAAAATAATTTAAAACAAAAGTTATATAAAATATTATTCTATAATTACTTAATTACATACTTTGAATAGCTTCTTCATAAGACTTGTTTCTTAAATCAAATAACCAATTTTCATTGCCGTGTTCTTCTATAATACTTTTGGCAGCATGATGAATAAACTTAGCTCTGTACCCAAATCCTAATTTTCGTAGAGCATCTTCAACTCCAGTCACAGCTAAAGCCTGAACTGTTGGAAAACAAAAAACTTCTTTATTATCACAAACTATTTTTTCGCCAAAAAAAACACATAATTTTTCAACCAATTGTGATATTCTAACGATATTATTATTTTGAGAACATATAAAACTAAACAAATTTTCAACAGGATCTTGTTTAAGCACTCGAATTCCATAAAAGTTACAATCAGACAATACTTTTATATTATTATCAACCCTTCGCCATTCTTCATAAAGTTTAGATATATCTATATCAAGTTGAAAATAATCATATAAAAACTTTTTGTCCGTGATGTCATCATTTATACATTTATTATTATCTGATAGACAAGTTGACTTAACAGTTTTATAGTAAATTCCGTCATCCTTCTGTTCTAAATACCATAATTTTTTATTAAGAACATTAAACCAAATATTTGGTGCTTCAGAATTAGTTTTCCATCGAAACGATTGACCACCAGATAAAATTAGCTTTAAATTTATTTCTTTTTCTGAACACGGCAAAAAATTCCACATGATATTTTTATACACAATATTTTAACATAACCTGTTTGTTTTTTAAAAGAAAAAAGCAAACCGGAACATCGTCCGGGTAGTATGAGATTTTTACTTCCGCGTTTTTTTACTCAATAAAAAATCTCATAAAATTATTAGAGTGGCGTAAAAAGATTTTTAAATGATTGAATTAAGCAACTTTTTAAACACAAAGAATATTCCAAATTTTTTAAAGTTCGTATGTATGGACGGAAAGTTTCTTCACAAAAAAAAATTATTGCGGTAGGAGAATGGGAACAAGAAACCCTAAAATCTTAGCCCTTCTTGCCCCCAACGTGAAAGCAACAAGTTGATTAAAAAATTTTTGTACCATTTTCAACTAGACTTATATTCATCAAAGAATTTTAAAATTCATAGTATAATTTCTCAGCGTTCAAAAATTATGACCATATAAAATTTGCAACTCCTTCAAATCGGGGGGGGGGGGGGGGTCAAACTTTGTTTGGTCATAATTTTTTATCACTAAAATATTTTACTATGAAATTAAAAATTTATCGATGAATATAATTCTAGTTGAAAATAGTACAAAAATTATTCCATCAACTTGTTGCTCTCACGTTTAAGGCAGGGAAGGGCTAAAATTTTAGAATATATATATATATATATATATATATATATATATATATATATATATATATATATATATATATATATATATATATATTTATTTATTTATTTATTTTATATATTTTTTCGTCATATTAATAATAAATTATTTACAATATATTCTGTTGGAGTTAAGATATGACAAGAGCAGGCAGAAGATAAAAGTCTTATCATCCCCGTTGTATCATTTACATAATATACATGATATACACAAAAAAATAATCCATCATATAAGAAAAAAAATAAAAAAAAGAGCGAGCGACTTGCTAGCTCCATAGCGATTTTGAAGCGATTTTTTTTTCCTATTTTATTTTTTGCTAATATCTTTAACATCTTAAAAAATTCGATTTTTACTGTTGAGTCTATTATAATTATGAGGATAATTGAACTTTAAGCATTTCGATTTTGTAGCAATGTGTCGCTAGCTAAATATCGTAGCTTTGTAGCTGGCTACAAAATATCTACAAATCTATAGCTGGTTGATAGCTACATATCAAATTTTTTAGACAACAATTTTATTACGATATGCCACTAGCTACAATAGCCAGTGGGTCTTTATCTTAAAAGCTATATATCGATAGCTTTTCGCTTACTTAAAAAAGCTCGCGATCCTCGTGGCCAAATTGCTGTCTTTATCGTTACAATTGTAGCTAGCTATTCGCTAGCCGATTTCCCACCGGGAAGTAATGATGAAAAGGGTGATGTCGCTTTTTAACAAAAGAAAAATCTAAAAAAAAATAAAAGAGAATAAAATAAAGATTAAAAATAAAATAGTATTTGAGATACGTCATAATCAAGTAACTGTTTTTTTAAGATACTTTTAAAAGTTTGGATTGAAGTTATAGTTTTATTATTATTTAGGAGAAATAAGTTCCACAAATGTGACCCTCGGTAAGTTATTGAGAAGTTATTTGTTTTTTTAAGATACAAGTCTTGACGGATAAGTGCTTGTCCAAGCAATATTACAATAACTACTATAGCTATGAATAAATAAAAAGTAAATAGATTTTAAACAGTTTTTATTCAACATACATCTAGTTTTATATATGATTCTAATACTTTTTGAAATTTTATTTTTTTTTAGATTAATATGCTCTTTCCAATTTATTTGCTCATCGATTAAAACGCCTAGAATTTAACACAGTATGTCCGTTGCAACTTGGTTTTATCTATTAAAATATCCCGGAGTTTTAAAGGCAACGTGTCAGATTTAGAAGATTTAGAAAAGAGAGTATATTTGCTTTTGGTAGGGTTCAGAGAGAGTTTGTAGGCTTTAAACCATTCATTAAGGTTATCAAGTTCACTATTCATAGTGGTAAAGATTGTCTTAATGTTAGAGTGAGTATAAAAAACTTTAGTGTTGTCAGCAAAAAGATTGCAGTTTAGTATACTAGATGATAAGTAAATATCGTTGATATAAATAATAAACAACAAAGGCCCTAGAATAGATCCCTGTGGAACTCCGCAGGTAATGTTTTCTAATTTAGTGTAGGTTTTGTCATAAGATACATACTGTTTGCGATTTTTAAGATAGGAACAAAACCATTTAAGATTATTATTTTTATCACCATAAATTTCAAGTTTGTAAAGAAGAATATCATGGTCCACTGAATCAAAGGCCTTAGAGAGCTCAATAAACACTCCAAGAGTATATCGGTTGTTTTCAAACCCATTTAATATTTCATTGACTAATTTAATTAGTGCATGTTCTGTCGAGTGTCTTTTTCATAATCCGTACTGATTGTTATTTAGAACTTTGTGAGTTGTAAGATAGCTGTAAAGCCTATTATGCATTATTCGCTCTAGAATTTTAATTGAAATAGGTCTGTAGTTAGATAACTTTGAGATATCACCATCTTTAAATATTGGAACTACTCTAGCTAGTTTCAAGAAACTCCATTTTTAAATGAAAGATTAAAAATAATAAGTAAGGGGTTCTCAATAATACCAAAAACTTCTTTAACAACATTAGGGCTTATACCATCAAGACCTGCGCTTTTGTTTGGTTTTATCGTATTAAAAGCAAACCGAAATTCATCAGGCGATAGCTCAAGCTCATCCATTACATAGTCCTTTTGTTATAGATATGATTTAAAAAAATTTTCCCGGGTGTTATTTTGTTCCCTAGGTTTTTACTCACGTTTATAAAAAAGTTATTGAAACTGTTTGCAATATCTTTTTTCTCATTATTTATTGATCTCTCATCCTCAGTATATAAATATTTCGGTAAATAATTACCACGAGTTTTCTTTTCTTTTCCTATCACTTCCTTTATTATATCCAAAGTTTTTTTGTTATTTCCGATATTATTTTGTAATAAATTTGAGAGATAATTTTTTTAGCGTTTTTTTTTTCAAGTTTTCAAACAGGCTTTTGTAAGTTTTATCTTTTTTTTCGTTTTGATAAGTTTTTTTTTTTAAGATTTTTCATATAATTTTTGTTTCTTCTTAGAAGATTTAATAAGTCCTTTTGTAATCCATGGAATTTGTAGACTTTAAAGCTTGGTTTTAATTTCCTTCTTCGGAAACGCTTTGTCGTACGCATTAAAAAACTCGTTGTAAAAAAATTTATAGGCTTTACTTGTATCTTTACAATTATTTAGTTGTTTCCAGTTTACTTTGAGTAAATAGTTTCTAAATTCATTATTATAGTTTCAGTAATCTGCCTTTCTAATTCTGCTAGTACTTTTCTTTTCTTTTTTATAAAAATCAGATATAAAAAAAATTGGAAAGTGGTCGCTTATATTGCTTTTTATGATTCCACTTTGAATGTTGCATGTTGTGAAAATATTAGTAAAAATATTGTTAATGAGAGATTCAGTTAGAAGAGTTACACGAGTATGCTTGTTTATTAAGGGAAGAATGTTGTATTGAAATAGAGTGTTTAAGAAACGTTTTACATCGTTAACAGTTTTAACATTAAGAAGATTTAAGTTAAAGTCCCCCGTGATGTAAATTTGTTTATTTTTTACTTTTTTAAAATACTATTTTAAGTGTTTTTGAAAGATTTTTTATTTCCGCATGGTGGTCTATTCATATATATATATATATATATATATATATATATATATATATATATATATATAATATATATATATATATATATATATATATATATATATATATATATATATATATATATATATATATATATATATATATATATATATATATATATATATATATATATATATATATATATATATATATATATATATATATATATATATATATATATATATATTGTTTAATAGTAATATTGGTTTTATATATATATATATATATATATATATATATATATTGTTTAATAGTAATATTGGTTTTATATATATATATATATATATATATATATATATATATATATATATATATATATATATATATATATATATATATATATATTCAGTTTTTTATATTTAGTTGATGGATCTTACATAATTCCTTTATATCATTTTAAAAAGAATGTTTTACTGAACAATAGATATGTTGGGAACTGATGATTTCAAAAGTTACTTTATTAAAAACAGACGGATAAATAGGTTTATTTTATTCTATGTACGTTGATATCTCCCAAACTTTAATTAGTTGAAGTTTTTGCTATACTTGGATACATTAAAAAAAAGACTTAAATGCATTTCTTCCAATTTTATTAAATCTTTGTTAACTTTCTATTTTCACGGAGCTCCAGACCATGCGTTACCTTTGGAACTACTAAATATTTGTATAATTGGATAATTATTCAATTAAAATAGAAGATAGATTTGCAAATCGGATACCAGATTGAATTAGAGTTTGCACTGTTGTTTGGAAATTTGCAGTAATATATAAAACATTTTAAATATATATATTTTTTTTATATTAATATATATATATATATATTATATACAACTGCAAAACACAAGACTTACTGGCACTGGATCCAAAACATACAAGAAAAACTCCCTAATGGGAATAAATGGGCGCAATATTTATTTTTGTCCCAGGGCTGAAAATTCCTCACTACGCCACTACTTTTAGTATAATTTATGTTTTATATAAATACCACCTGCTTAGTCTAACCCTTTGATTAAAAAAAATATTTTACAGCAAAAGATTTTTTTAAAAGATTATATTAAGATAATAATAAGAATAATGCATATTATTATATAATATATAACATATTATTATATAATATATAACATATTATTATATATTATATAACATATTATTATATAATATATTCAAAAGCGTCCCGAGGGGGGAGGACGTAGAGAGTGTCTAGCCCCTTAACAAATTTACTAGTCGGCATATTGGACACTGGAGTCTGAAAATTGGATCTTTTTTTTTTGTTTGTTTGTTTTTTTGTTTGTTCTTAAATATTTATTAAATTGTTGTACAATAAAA